TAAGATCTCTATAGTCGATACATAGACGAAATTGGGGTTCTTCTCCAGGATGCAATTTCTTCTCTACCAATATTGCTGGAAATGACCATGGTGATGAAGATTCACGTATGATTTCATTTTCTAGAAGATCTTGAATTTCGCTTTTGGGTGTATGATAAATTGACACTCATCATGCAGATATAATTCAATGTTCGACGTGGCAAATAGCCAGGAAAGTAGTTGTTTTCTGTTGAATATTCAGAATGATGTGTGTATATACATATTTTTGTCTGAAGGAGAATGCAAATTCTCAATTTCAGAAATTTTTTTTTTTTTTTTTTTATATTTTATTTTCAAACTCTTATCGTGTGTGTTCAATAGATATAATTCAATGTTCGTCGTGGCATATAGCCAGGAAAGTAGTTGTTTTCTATTGAATTAACTGAAAAAGAGTAAATATTCTCATCACATAGAGAATGCGAATTCTCAATGTATTGCTTTATATAAATATATATCCATTTTTGTATGTTCATAATTTATCTGAGAATATTCCTTTTCAACATCTTGAATTTCCTTGTCCAGTATTTTCTGACGTTGGTAGGGTACTCGGTAAGGTCTTTTTGAGATAGGTGGTACATTTTCTGTTATAATTCGATGTTTTACTCGAGAAGTACAGGTCAATTTGTGTGTTGGAGCTCTGAATATGTCGATATATTCCGTGATCAATTTTACAAGTTTTTCTTCTCCTTCTCCTTGTGGATTAGATAGCTGAAGCTGCTCAAGAATAAGTTTAGTATCTTGCATGCTCATAGAGCCAATTGTTTTTCTTCTTTTTTCCTGTTTACTTGGGACTTCACATTCTGTTTCAAATGCTCTGGCTATTATTTGTTTCCGCTGAATCACTACAGCACAATTGAGAACGTTAATCAGTTTTACAGGTATTTCTTGGTTCTTGGGACAAATGGATCGGGCTACCAATATTCCGTTGATCGAGTCCATAGATTCAATTACGATAGAATCGGTGGTAAGTCGTTTCGGCTTCTTGAGTAGTGCTGGTTGTATGGTCATTGTCCTTGGTGGTAAGTGAACATCTTCTTTGAAATATACTCCCACTCCATTACTGTGGTAATTCATAGGCTTGGATGTGCATCCATGTACTTTCTTATTTTGTGTCCCTGGCACTACTGACTGTGGGAGACTGGTATCAGTTATCTTACTTTGATGTTCAACTTTTGTACAGTCATTTCCTGATTTATTCATCCGTTTTAATTCAGAGACTTCTTCTGTTAAGTACTCGCTGCTTCTTTGACTTTCACTGTCGGTGTTTCCAGACTTAGAGGTGCATCTTTGTGCCCTATCCTCTTGTATCTGCGAAACAGGTGCAGTCCTGAGGCTATTTTCTCGACTAACGATTGGCTCTCCACTACGATACTGTGTTCTGCTATCATTTAAGGACCCTTTGGAAGCTGCAGTCTTCCTTTCCTTTGACTTCTCTTCATACCTTGGAGGATCCGGGATGGATATTGCTGTTTGGTGAACCAGAGGACTGGAATTCCCCTGTTCACCGGAATTCGCTGCCAATTCCAGTGGCATCGAATTCATATCCTCCTTGAGTACGGTTGAAGTAAAGGCTTTCAAGGTATTCCTGATTTCAACCAGATTATTTTCCATTTCAGCTAACCTCACTTTTATCTCTTTTTCCCAATCGTTATTTTCTTCTAATAACTCAATAACTTCATCTAGAATGAACATTTTCCCTGTTCCCCAATCGATTTTTGCTCCGAATCTTTGTAAAAAGTCTAATCCCAGCAGCATATCTACTCTGAAATTCCCTGTCTCTATCAGGATGAACTCATGTTCAATGGTCTTTCTTGAACTCAACTGTATTGGTAAAATTACCTTTCCATTATCAATGATTTTCCTTCCCTGAATATCAACTAGACTAATATCGTTGTTAACTTGAATATTGAACCCCTGCACGATACTCGGCTTAACTAGAGATACTTGTGCACCTGAATCAATTAAAGCTGTCAAGTACTGACCTTCTACTTCAATTTTCGCTATGTTCCTGGGTTCCTCCTTTCCTTGCGTGCAACTTAGTATCTCTGCCGTCCTTGACTTTATTGTCGAGGCACCTCGCTGGCAGCTACATGGCGGGGTTGAAATGCAGCTGCGGTCGTGTTTAAATTACCGGTGGAACGTCCTCCTCTACCTGCAGTTCGCCAGGTCTCAGTTGGATGACCTTGACCTCGTTGTTGGCTTCTGTCTGGACAATACCTCACTATGTGTCCAGGTCTTTGACATCCATAACACACCTGGATTCGGTTATTGCTGTTGATTCGTTCCTTGCAATCTCTGGCAAAATGTCCCATTTTCTGACATCTGTAGCAGTTAAGAGTGTTTCTTGACCTTGCATTCTGTTGATTTATTTCGTGTGAGTCTACCACCCTGCATTCTCGTTCCTGTATTTTGGTAAGATTTTCTATCGTCTCCTCTTTTTCTGCAACTCTCACCGCTTCTTCTAGTGTGGTGGGCTCTGCGGACAATACTTTCTTCCGTATCGGGTTGAGTAGGCCGAGAACAAATTGTGTGGTTGTATCCGCTGCTAATTTCTGTTTTATCAGGCGGTTGTCATCTGGTCTAGCGGTGTATTTTACAGTCTTGTTAGCAGCAATTTTCAATCGGGCCAAAAATTGCCTGCAAGACTCACCATTTCGTTGTTTGCACTCAATAAACGCCTTCAGTGCTTGTCCAGGAAGTTGAACTACGCCAAACTGCTTACGTAAGGCCTCTTCTAGAACCTCCCATGTTGATGTAGCTCGCAGATCTGGTTCTGAGTCTATCAACTGCTTGGCTATTCCTCTTAATTTCAATCGAGTTATCGCTGTTTGTTGTTTTTCTGTCCACCCTGCCAATATTGCCGTTTCTTCGATAATTTGTAGAAAGTCATGAATACTTGTCTGTTCATTATACTCTGGTATTGCATCTAAGTTCATGGGCATGGAAACAATGATATTTTTCTGGTCGTCGTCATTGTTGTCGTCTCCTGTTGGTGATCCGGTTCGTGACATCTTTCAATCTTTATGTCTACGAGTAGTTCTTCTGCCGTTGATGGTAGAATGTCTACACTTATCTTTCCTGCCGCTGAGGGGGTTTAACAGCTTCTAAATATTCGAACCCCACACCTGACACCAATTGTAAAGCACCCCTTTTCTTGGGTTGGCCTATACAGGGGGTCTTCACAAAGTTACTGATTCACTGGGTTCGTGAATACTTAGTCAGGAGTAAGATTGGTGTATATAGACATTAATACGGCAGTTCAAAATACATAAATCTCTATTCAGCAATCATCATAATATGGACAGGCAGAGTTGACATGGAAGTAAAACAGATGTGCTTACATAATATTGGTTGGTTATACATGATGACAGGATGATGTACACTCGCACTATTATACCGGGTCACTTTGAAAAGTTAATACAGTTTTATAAAAGTTCAATTATTCTCGATACACATCTATTGCAGCAACACAATATGTTCACTAGGTACAGACTTTCAAGCAATTTCTAATATCAACTACATATCACGTATAACTAGACTGTTTAGCAGAGTTACTGGTTCAAGACATGAGACTTCATATCAAGAGTTCGATCAAGACTGACTTTTATGCCAAAACTCCCTGCTTTTATACTGAGATTTGGTCATAAATTCAATCAGAATTCATTAGATTTTCGCTTAGTTGAATTGACCTCGAATTAAAGTGCAAAAAGAGTGGCTTCGGATGTTTTCAGAAATAGTTTTTAATTTAATGGAATTTTATCATTAATCATTTTGCAAAAATCGATGACAGTTGACCTTGGGTATTACTTAAAATTAAGTACAGAAGAAGGATTTCAATGTTCATCTGAAAAGATTTTAAACTAATTGATTTTTGTAATAATTCATCTGGCCTCTACCTATCTTTGGCACGCCCCTCTGCTGTGGCTCAGTTACTTACTCTTTTCTAACTTTTATTCACATCTTTTTTGCTGTTCCTGTGTGCCACTATCAACAATGTTACAAAGGTAAAGTACCTAATAATAAACCTATTACATATATATTATGCATTTCTTGGGATTCGAAACAAATATGCATATTTCCAACAAGAGTTAATTCACGTAATAATATTGCTCTATCAATCTATCCTTCTAATACTTATTGAATGCATTCGAGTTCACATACCTAAATATTTATTGACCTAATTAAAACGACCTTCTATTTCCTATAAGTGTAAAGTGTCTAGCATTAGTATTCGTCATGATATTTTTGGTCGAGTCTTCGCGTTCATTACAATATTCATCATACAGGGCGTGGAAAGAAATTCTGAATTGAGACTCTATTACGAAAAATCACAAGTTTCCATGGTTCAAGTTTGAACCCCTTGATTGGGTATGAAAGTGTTGAAAAGAAATATTCTCAGATGAAGTAGTTGTTTTCTGTTGAATATTCAGAATGATGTGTGCATATACATATTTTTGTCTGAAGGAGAATGTAAATTCTCAATTTCAGAAGATTTTATATTTTATTTTCAAACTCTTATCGTTTGTGTTCAATAGATATTATTAAAGTTCGTCGTGGCATACATTGCCAGGGAAGTAGTTGTTTTTTATTGAATAAACTGAAAAAGAGTTGATATTCTCATCAGATAGAGAATGCGAATTCTCAATGTATTGCTTTATATAAAGTTATATCCATCTTTGTATGTTCATGATTTATCTGAGAATATTCCTTTTCAACATCTTATTTGCCATGGATTTCCATCAAGTAACGGCCGAGTCAATTCAAAATTTGAAGTTTTTTACATCAAACAATGATTTTTTTACCATGTTGCCCGCCCCTCAATGCTGGAAGATGTTGAAATATTTAATTTTGTGACGGGAAAAATGAGACATTTCATTTTTGTTGACAGGTAACGAAATATCACTTTTCATAAATTAATTTTTCCTCCGAAAAAAAAAAGTGGATGCTTTTCTTCTTCTCACCTATCAGGATGAGCTGCTGGCAATGTACCGTGAGGGCACCTATGAGGTGGGCCTCAAGAACTTCCGCTGCCTCCTCTACGATCACTATCGGACTCTTGAGTGCGTTCAAGGTCGATCTGAGCCTGGCAGCACTGGTTGTTGTCATGCCAATCACCTGAGAATAGGTCCAGGTTATACATATAGTGTTAGGGTATATACAAATTAACCCAAGTAGCAGGGTGAGCTTAAAATTTGCCATGTTGACATTTCACGTCATTTTTGGTCCATGACGTTTTTTGACCAAAATATGAGAATGACGTCATATTTTATGATGTCTTGTTGACGTTTATTACTGAAGGTCTTTATGACGTCCCTACAAAGTCGTATATTCTCCCATTCAACCAAATGAGAAAAATCAGTCGAATTTTTACCTTTTCATCATCTGTTGTGCTAAAGTGTTTGTTTAAACAAGTAAAGTAGGTGCTGAAAATCATTTTCAGCAAAATTAACAATTTCTGAGGAATCTGCTGAAACAGGTCGATTTTTATTAACAATTTCTGGGGAATCTGCTGATACAGGTCGATTTTTATTTTCAATTTGCATTATTAATGAGGGTAAATTTTTAAGAATGGAACACCCTGAATATTACTCAATTTTTGGAATCACTATGGGAAGACGAATTCAAAAATGTATTACATATGTGAATTGTATACTTCGCGTCCAATAAATTCAATGCTCTCGTAAAGTACTGGATAAATTCATTCTCATCCATATTATCCATTTCTGAAAAATCTTCTGAAGCAGGAGGTACTTTTATTTTTGATCTAACACATTCATGAGGAGAAATCAAATATACAGGATGATACACGTTTCAATTTCATGACGTCCGCGACACATTTTACAAATGGAACACTCTATATTATATTATGGAATTTTTGTAATCTCTATGAGAAGCTGGATTCAAAATCATATCATACATGGAGTTTGTATAAAGGGGGTCCGTTAACTTCAGTGGTATCGTGAAATGATGTCACCATTGAAAAATACCGATGACGTAATTTTCAACGAATTTATTCACAACTTTACAAAAGCACTTGATTCAACGAACGCACTGTAAACAAACTCTATGTGTAATATATTTTGGAATTCAGCTACCCCTAGAGATTCCAAAAATCGAATAATGCATAGGGTGTTTGTTCCTTTGAAAAAAATTGTCGCGGACGTCGTAACTCAAATGTGAATCACTCTGTATAATCAATTTCCCCTTATAAATGTTGGTAATTGAAGATGAAAATCGACCTGTTTCAGGAGATTCCACAGAAAGAAATAGTATTGCTGTAAATGAATTTATTCACTAACGAAATCACTCAATTTGACGGACAACAACAACAAACCCTATGTGTAATATATTTTTGGATTCAGATTGTTATTGCTATTTCAAAAATTGACTAATATATAGGTTGTTTTTATTTGAAAAAATGGCAGAGGGAATCTGATTTTTACTTAAAAATGTGGCAAATTGAAAATCAAAATCGACCTGTTTCAGGAGTTTCCTCAGAAACGGATAGTTTAGCTAAAAATTAATTTATTCAGCTTACATCTCGCCGACGCTCGCTACATAATTTTAGATACAAATATGAGTTATTGCCTTATAGAGATCCGTAAAAAATGATGATGGCGCTAGGACTGAAAAGGACTACCCACGAGGACCATCGACCAAGTCACCACAAAGCCTAGTTACAAATGAATTTCATCAAAGGTTTGTGGTTTATTATTATGTACCCATAATATCGTACATACAAGGTGTCCCGAAATAAGCCTGTCAAACTTCACCAGCGGCTTCTAGAACAAAAAATAGGAGCAAAAGTTGCAATGAATATTAATCGATAAATGTCTGATAGTATGAGAGCCGGCTGCAGATTTCTACTGTCATCTGATTACAAAATGATCGGCACCTGTGCCAATCACTATTCTGAGCGAAATGATTGAAACGTTGTACTTTCCTGTGCGGAAATTTGCCCTCAGTCTGAGCCAAATCAACGGCACAGCGATTTATTTGCTCCTATTATTCCGGACATTTATTTATTGAAAATGTTACTTCCAGTCAGAATCAAGTTCTGGTATAAGGAAGTATAGTTAACAATAATACCTAAAACTATACAATTATGATAAACTAATAAATAATATAATATTTGAAAACATTAAGTATTATATTTTGACAAATCATTTCATATTGGTGAGCAAAAATCAATTTGAATATGAATCAAAAGTTGAGAAAAAAAAATCATCCATTTCGTTCAGAAATGATAAATTTTTCAAGTTGATATTTGAATTTAATTGTATTTCTGCAATTTTTTATATTATCTGGTAATTTGTTATATTCCAAGAGAGCAGCGTAGGTGAATCTTTTTTGGCCTATAGGAGAATTAGCCATATCAAGATGAAATAAACCATGTTGTCAAGTTTGATAATTATGAATTTCATTGTTTGGTGTTAAAATAAAATAAGATTTCAATCTTGTATTTATGATATTGTATGTAATTATCAGTCTTTCAATTTTGAACATTTCTTCTAATGAGAATGATTCAGTTATTTTATATAATTGATTTGTTGGTGTATCATATGGTAAACGATACAGTACTTTCAATGTCTTTTCATATTATGCAGATATTTTATTGAAATTGTTTTTTGAACAGTATCCCCAAACATTTATCAAATAGTTAATACGACTGAGTATATGAGAATATAGAATTATATTCGCAACTTTTTTATTCAGCTTGGGACATCTTCTCAGGGCTCCAATAATAGATATTTTTTTCTTTAAAACATTTATATGTTTATCCCACTTTAGTTTATCATCAAACCAAATCCCAAGAAACCTTTTCTCATTAGTTTGTTTCAAAGATTCATTTTTATTCTGAGATTTAAATTTATATTTTGTTTATTTTTTTGTTGAAAAATCATATATTCAGTTTTATCAGTATTTGATGATAAGAGGTTTGAATGCAGCCAATTTTCGAATTTCATCAAGTCTCTCTGTTTATTATGTTTTCTAAAATGACAGGATTTTTATTTTCATATAAAAGTACCGTATCGTCTGCATAAATAGTGTAATTACATTCTGTATCAATTTTCGTGATATTTTGAATATATTATAATAAATATAAAATTGGTCCTAAAACAGATCCTTGAGGGACACCTTTAGTCATCGGTAGTCTATGAGACTCTGAGTTGGTAGATTTGGTACTGATTGTCCTATTTTGAAGATACGAATCTAAAAGGTTCCTTATCATGCCTCCATTGATTCTAAATTTTCCAAAAGTGTTATGTGGTCTACTGTATCGAAAGCTTTCTTGAGATCAACAAAAATTGTTATCACATAATTTCCAGTATCAAAACCTTTTTGTATTGCTTGTATTACTTGTAATATTGCCGCTTGTGTGCCACTATTTTCTTGAAAACCAAATCGATTTATGTCAAAGCTATATTTTCTATTTATGAAATCTACAATGCTTTTTTTAAGAATCTTTTCAATAATCTAATTACGTTATGTGATAACGAGTTGGAACAAAAAGCAAATGAAAGGAAACATGTCCCTTTTGCGAATATCAAAACGTGCTTCGATTCAAACTGATCTTAGTTAGTGGCAGAGCGTCAATATTTTCGTGAATATTTCGCCCTCGTTGAAAGATTATATTCGATGGACCAGTGTGAAACTCAGGTGGTGCTCACACTATAAGTAGTTTAATCCACATGTTGAGTTTTGAACTGGTCCATCGGATATCAACTTTAGAGTTAAGAAAGGTTCATGAGAGCCACTACACTGTTTTACCACTAACCAAACCGATTTTTTAACGCCTCGACACGTGTTTCGCTAACTATGTTAGCATCTTCAGGAGAAGATTAAAACATCAGTTTTAATCTTCTCCTGAAGATGCTAACATAGTTAGCGAAACACGTGTCGAGGCGTTAAAAAATCGGTTTGGTTAGTGGTAAAACAGTGTAGTGTATTATCGTGCCAAAGGTTCCAGTCTTCGATATTTCATGAGAGCCGTTTACACCAAGAATGAATTATGACCCCTGGGAAAGTTCTGAAAAAAAATTCAGGAGGTGAGGGTGATTTTAACCCTTCTACAATTTCTTTTAGATTTCTTCGATTACACTACTGCCAAATTCCATCAAATTCGTTTCACTCATTTCTGAACAGCGTACAAAAATGTGTTTGTTTATGTGAACTTTGAACCCTTCTCACGGACAAACGGTACATTTTGGCACATAAATAAATTGGGTTCAATAAACTTATTTAGATCTCCTCTACAGCTCTGTGTCCCAGCAATTTTGGGAAACCCTGTATATACAAATGATAATAGGTGTACCTATTGAGAAAGGGATCGCTTTTATGACGTTGCAGTAACGTATGTATGACGTCTAAAAATTAGGTCGGTGGGGCATACCAATTTGGTGGACTTCGTCATTCATAAAATTTGCTTACATCTCGCCGACAAAAACTACATAATTTTTTATAAAAATACGAGTAACTGATCTCATTCTAATGGATGGAAAATGAAATATGAGAGTATTTCATTTTACTACGATTTTCCAACTGATTGAAGAAAATAACGACATTTATGTCATGGTTTCGTGAATATTTATTATATTATCAATTTTGATGGTACTTTATTCGACGAAAATTGGTTTTTGAATGAAAAAAACTAAAATAATGATTAATTACGGAATAACTGAGATAGTGCCAGAAGATTCTCTAACAAATTCCTATAAGATTTTCACCATAGATTTCGAATCTGAGTTCGAATTTTTCGTTCTTATTATACAGGGTGAGTTATTCTCACAATAACTCAACATAGGGAACAAATATTATTCCGGTCCTGATATTGGTTTTGATCAAAGGGCTACTTGTTGATGCCTTTCAGTGTATTTCGTGTACCAAACTTGAATCTATTCGGTTGATCCCTGTATTTGATATGGCGGATTGAATTATATGTCAAAATCCACAAATCAGTCTGTATGTCAGTAACGAAGCGGTTTTGGACATTTGTTCACTATAATATGACTATATCTTAATGATATGTAAGTTTTGTTCACTATTTGTAATTTCAATTATACAACAGTCGATAATACTTCATGAATGATCTTATACCAGAAATTACTGTCTGATCATTCATGTCATTCCTACTAGAAAATTAATTATACTTTATATATTATTTGTATGAAATGTATCAATGAAGAAAAGAATGTAATGCAATAACTGAAATAAATAAATAAATAAATAAATAAATAAATTTTGCAATCATATTGACAGTCCCTATAACCCCATGAGTTTCGTCGGTTTTATCTCCGGACACCCTGTATGACACCGAAACGACCATCAAGCAGTCTCAACAATGCATAATTAAGATTAGATATCACCAGAGGTCAGTGGTGTTTATCACACTTTGAAAACTTTTTTGCGTTTTATCACCAAAATTGAACGTCACTTTGGCGTCATTTCGACGTCACCGTTAGGTGAGTGACTGACGTCAATAAACGTAAGTAATATGACATCATTGGGCTGTGATTTATTCACGTCACTTCTCACGTCATACGACGTCACCTTGGTCATTCAAATAACGTGAAAAGACGTCACTGTAACGTCATCTGATTGCCTGGTATGAATATAATATCGAGATTGAAGGAAAATCGATCAATGCTCGACAGAAATGAAATAACAGGCTGTCCCAATTCATGGACCGAATTCAACAAAACTGACGGACGTTTCTATATGTACAGGGTGGGTCACCAGTAACGCCTCGGTCTCTAGAAGGCTAACCACTTATCTTCTTGGAATTCTTCCTCTCTAGGAAGTTGCATGTCAACATAGGCTACCATTTAAAATTATTTCGAAACATACAGGGTGTCCCCAAAATCCATAAAACACTAAAGTTAAACTTTTTTCTATCGAACACCCTATATATTATTTCATTCTGAGATTCTCCCTGATGAGCTGATTTCAACGACGCATCATACTTGGGGTCTAGCAGTTATAATTACTGAGATATAGGGTGTGAGAAATCGAGATTTTCCAAGTTCAAGAATTTTTTGTGTCTAAACCATTCACAATTGGTCAAAACGGCTCAACTCCCTATCTCAACTTTTGATCAACTATCTACTGACATTTAATTGAAACAAATACAGGGTGGTGCAGAATTCAGAATCTTGATCACCCGGTATATGTCCCAATTAAATATCAGTAGATAGTTAATCAAAAGTTGAGATAAGAACATGTGAGTCGTTTTGACCAATTATGAATAGTTTCGACACAAAAAATTCTTGAACTTGGAAAATCTCGATTTTTCACACCCTATATTTCAGTAATTATAACTGCTAGACCCTAAGTATTATGGGTCGTTGAAATCAGCTCATCAGGGAGAATCTCAAAATGAAATAATATATAGGGTGTTCGATAGAAAAAAGTTTAACTTCAGTGTTTTATAGTTTTTGGGGACACCCCGTATGTTTCGAAATAATTTTAAATGGTAGCCTATGTTGACATGCAACTTCCTAGAGAGGAAGAATTCCAAGAAGATAAGTGGTTAGCCTTCTAGAGACCGAGGCGTTACTGGTGGCCCACCCTGTATATTTACATACCAGGCTATCTCGCATAAGTTTAACATCCTCCATGTCTCGTTGTTCCATGTAAATGACGTACTTCTCTTGATAGACTTTGTTGATTTTTTCTCTTTCCTCGATCAAGTGAGAGAGATACTGCTTCACGAAAAAACTGTACACAGACCAGCGTTGATTGTGGTTCAGCTCGTGGAAGTTGTAGATGACTCTGCTGTATATTGGAGGTATTCGGTTGTTTCTCAAATCGTTCATTTTTGTCTGCAAAAAAAGTGAATTATCGAAGGTTATACCAGTGGTCCTTCAAATTCCATCCATGATTTTTTCAATAAATAATTTGCTACAAATATTTGTTATTTGGCAAAAATATGAAAACACACTGATCGATGAAATCACAAGTCCATAGGACGAGTTGTTTGAATGATTTTGTCTCAAATAAAATAGTTTGAGTGATGAAAATAAAATTATTGGATAAAATTTGAGGGACAGTTGTATTTGGGAAGATAATCGATTTCACCAATTCGATAAAAAGTCAATGGCAAATTTCACGAGTCAAATTAATTCGACGCACAATGTCCTCTTCTATCATGATTGATCAAATGGTTCTGAAGAGGTGATGTGTGTGGGATACATTTGCGTTGACTACAAGCGAGGATGCTAAAGAAATAAGATGGCAGACACTGGTCCGGAGTCAGATTAATTTTGACAGTTCAATGAAAGCAAGGTTTTATATATTAAGAACAATGCAGTGTTGTCCGCCTATAATATCGAATGATTGGCTATAGAAATACGCATTGCTAATGGTTGAAACAACGGAAACGTCACATTTTGACATTCCTCCAGCTATACAGGGTGTGCAGAACGTTGGCACCAAATTTACTAATTTTAAATAGAAACCTACATTTTTTCACAAGGTTCGATTGGCCTTCTAATTCTAAGACAACCTTATTTATGTCAACTTATCTATCACAGGTTCCGATTCTTCTGAAAATAAATAACGTCGTAGTAGTTTAGGTAAACATGTGTATGTAGAAAATAGTTCCAAGCTAACTCATGATGCCCCATCATCGATAGTCCCAATTTGTACCAAATGGGCGCGGGTGATTTTCAAATGAAAAATTGCCGAAAACTCGCCTTCTTCAAATAGCCCCTACTATTTTCTGATGCCATACCCAGGCAACCAGATGACGAATGATCCCGTCACTATGACGAACCCAATTGGTGATTTTTCGTCAAAGACGTGACACAAAAATTTTTGACGTCACTATGACGTACTTTCTATGACGTGATAATTACGTCATCATTACGACGTTGAGTAAACGTTACTTGGATGGCATGTTTCTCTTTAGTTTGGTACGTGTTTGTGTGTAATGTATATACAAGGTGATTCTAAAATAGGTGATCAAACTTTGGGAGCATATAGAGTGGGTGAAATAGTTACGAAAACCTCTGTAACATTTTTTTCCTGAAGTGACCCCCAAAAAAGATACAGCCCCTCAAAGGGGGGCCTCGGAGAATGATTTTGTATTATTATCTCCAACACCTTGTATAATGAAAATCTGAAATTTTGTCCATCCACTTACTATTCAGTGCCGGTTCGAATGGGGTTGAAATCACCTCAAAATAAAATACAGGGGTGTGTCAAAATAGGGAGGTAGGGGGTAAAAATAACACCAACTTGTTTTTTCATCGCAATTTCAGTTTTTTGACATGAAATTATGAAATCTCAGCGCTATTTACATAAAAAATGTGCTCTTGTTGCATCTCGAATAAAATTTTAAAAAAGCTTGTTCTTAACAATATTTTTCATTTTAGTATTCTCAATAGGATCAGACCATAATCACGAAACTCGTCGTCTATTTTTAATTCATCAATTCCGACAACGAATTTAAAATTTCCAACCCCAAAAACCCTTACAAACCAATTTTGAATCGAATCGAACCATAATCACAAACCTGGTCAGCAACATTGGAGCCGCCATATTTTTTTCTATCAAGAAGTCCATAACGCGTTGTCAACTGTCATCTGCCAGATTCCAAGTTGATCAGACGATTAGAAGTAGGTGAACATTCAGTTGCAAGATTTGAACTAGATAATAAAACTCGAAGTGCATACCAAAATTGCAATTTGAATGAAATCTTGGAAAAATAAATTCTATTCGCTAATGATTCAGTTTATGGAGATTCAACAAGAGCTCCTTTTCTATGTTGATAGCCCTGAGATTTCATAATTTCATGTAAAAAAACCGAAATTGCGATGAACAAAAAAGTTGGGGTTATTTTTACCCCCTACCTCCTTGTTTTAACACATCCCTGTATTTAATTTTGAGGTGATTTTAACCGGCACTGAATAGTTAGTGAATAAACAAAATTTCAGATTTTCATCATACAGTTTTGGAGACAATTGTACAAAATCATTCTCCGAGGCCTTCCTTTGAGGGGGTGTATCTTTCTTGGGGGTCACTTCAGAAGAAAATGTTATTGAGGTTTTCGTAATTATTTCACTCACTCTATAATATACTCCCAAAATTTGACCACCTATTTTAGAATCACCTTGTATAAATATAGGGTGTCCCAAACTCGATGGCCTAACAAAACGTTTCTGGACAACGGGATCATTTTGAAAATCTGGTTTCTTGGGTAATCAGTTCTGTTTTATCGATCTAGAATATTTTCAACGCTTCGGCGTTGCCGCTTCTATCAAACACCCTGTATTTTATTGTATTTTCGGAATCTCCCTGAAGAGCGGATTTCACCGATCTATCACACATTGGGGTCTGGCGGAAATATAGGGGTGTGAAAAATCTATATATTTCAAATTTAGTAATTTTATGTGTCCAAAACAATTAATTATTGTCCCTATCTCCACATTCGATTTACTAGCTACTGACATTTAATTGAAAAAAATACAGGGTGATTTATAATTCAAAATTCTGATCACCTATTATTTGTTCTGATTGAATATCAATTGATAGTAAATGAAAAATTAAGGTAGAGACATCAAAACCGTTTAAACCAATAATGAATAGTTTCAACACGAAAAATTCCCGAACGACGAAGTGAAATCGACAGATAAAATCAGCTCTTCAGGAACAATCTGAAAACGCAATATTATAAAGGATGAATACTCGAAATAACAAAGTGTGTTGCTACTTTTTTATAGATGCGGCAACGCAAATATTTTCAGATTGATTTGGCAGAACTGATTTGAACGTCATTTTGACGTCATTTCAACATTGAAATCACCATCAGGAGATTGACTGACGTCAATAAAAGTGAGAAATATGACGTCATTGGACTGTGACTTATTCACGTCGTCATACGACGTCAATTTCTGACGTCACCTTGTTCATCCAACTGACGTGAAAAAAGGCGCTGCTGAAACGTCATCTGGTTGCGTGGGTATAAAATAAAATTAGAGAATAAGTTACTCTTGAGCATTTCCTATATCAAATTCAAATCTCTATCGAGTAATAATAATAATATAATAATAATAATAATTTATTCACCAAGAAAAATACAATCATTGCACAAAATTAACAAAATGTTAATGTTAAATATACAGCATTTTCGTGTGTTTTAACGATAAATAAATTTAGATACCACTAAAGGAATACCTTGAAAGTGGTGCCAGATAAACTATCGTTATGTGTGTATATGTGTTGGTAGGTGTGCTTGTTTGATGTGTTGCGTGAATAGTATAATAAAATTAATACATTGGGAGAGTAAACGATTGAAAACTAAGAGTATTATAGTGACTTGATATATCGAGAGAATAAAGTGACTGAATACATTATTATCTGACATCAACCCATTGAACTGCCGTTAACAATTTCATGTATTCGTAACCTTGGCATTTCTTTCATCCATTTTTTTGTTTTATTTTTGAAATGGAGGTCTGAGTTCAGGTTCCTAATTTCTAGTGGTAATTGATTATACAGTTTTGGTCCCAGATAAAAGTATGATCTCTGTAATATGTTTTTGTTTGTCCTTGGTATTTTACTGAATTTTTTTTTGTTACGTGTTTCATAATCATGGGTTACAGCAATGAGGTCCTTTCTATATTTGTGTTGTCTCACGACCAGCGTCAGGAAAAATAACTGTCTTATGTCCATTAATTCTGTTTCCGTGTATAATAAGTCGGAAGAATAAGTACGCGGTCTTTTGTATATAACTTTCATGATGGACTTCTGGATGGTTTCCAGGATTTCCATGTGTATGTTGTTCGCGGCCCCCCACGCAACAATTCCATATGTAAGATGACTCTGTACCAGAGCAAAGTATAAAATCCGCAGTTGTTCGGTCGTCAAAATCACAGAGAGGTATCTGAATTTATAGAGGGTGCACCTTAATTTTTTTGTAACATAACTAATGTGAGTATCCCATCTCAGATGTCTATCTAAGTAGATACCCAGGTACTTTATAGAATCAACTGACTGGATTTTTATTTCACTGTTGCCTCTTTGAATTGTAAGTGAGTCGAATTCTGGTAGGTTGGTGGAGTAGGAGGTGAAGGGAATAAAGTGAGTTTTACTAAAATTGATTGTTAATAATCGATTGTCAAACCATTTTGCTAAATTTTCAAAGTCCTGTTCAGCCTTTCGCTTCAGAGTATTCCAATTTCTGTCGGTATAGAGGATTGCTGTGTCATCAGCAAAACTCACTACTTCACCATTCAGATCCAATTTGAATAAGTCATTCAGATAGATATTGAAGAGCACCGGTCCTAAAACGGTTCCCTGAGGGACACCATATTCAATATTCGCAGATTCACTTAGGGAATTATTAATTTTAACATGATGTTTTCTGTCAAGTAGATAGTTTTTCATTAGTTTATATGGTATCCCTCTGAATCCGATGCCCTCCAATATCTCTAGCAATTGGGAATGGCAAACAGTGTCGAACGCTTTTGCGAGGTCCACAAATATGCATAGAGTAGGTTGTCTTTCATCAACACATTGACTGATCCTGGTGCATACGTGGTTTATCGCATCTTGCGTCGACCTATTTGTTCTGAATCCATATTGCTTTTCAGAAAGTACATTATATTTTTCTAAATATTTAGTGATTCGATTTTTCAAAACAGTTTCTAAGACTTTTGCAATACTGGATATCAGCGAAATAGGGCGGTAGTTGGAAATACTTGTTTTGTTGCCTGATTTGAAGAGTGGCTTGATCACCGCTATTTTGAGAGCTGACGGAAATTCTCCAGTTTCAAAGCATCGATTTATCAAATGGACAAGAGGTTTCACAATGTGATTTGTTAACAGTTTCAAAGTTTCCGATGTGATACTGTCAATACCTGGAGCTTTTTTATCTTTTAAGTTCTGTATGACTTGCCTCACCTCTTGTTCATTTGTTTCTGACAGAAATAAGGAGTTGGGTAGGTATGTTTTCTGGAATCTTTCATGGTTTTCAGTGGGTTTTATTTTGTCTGCTAACCTTTTTCCGATTTGAGAAAAATAATCATTGAATTCCCTCGCCATGTCTATTTCATCGGTGGTTGGTTCACTGTCGGCTTTAATGATTTTTTCAATGTTGGAATGAACACTACTTCTCCCGCAAATGATTCAATAAATATCAAGAAAACAACGATACATTTTTCTTCGTGTATACGGTGGTGTTATAATAGTAGTAAGGAATTTTTAGCCATCGAATATCGGAGACGGAATCAAAAAACTTTCGCATTTGGGTAGCTGGTGGATCTGTAGCATAATAGGTCCTTGAAAAATCAAGATAAGGCATTTTATAGCTGAATGTTCATTCACAATCATACCCACACATTAATAACCTCAAATAAACCAAAAAAGTTGATATTAGAAAATTAGAAGGATGTGAAAGCCTGGGAATATTCAAAAACAGTAATAAACAAATATAATGGACTTATATTCCATATAGCCATCAGTATAGTTTAGTGATTTAGGATTATAAATAACATGTGAACCCAACCTTGACAGACAATGACTGCTCGTTTTGTGGTTTCCACGGTTGAGTGAATATACCTACAAAATGAGCCTCAACTCTTGAAGATGTTAACACTGATAGTGAAACACATGGCGGCGCTGAAAAATTGTGATTGTAAAAAACTTCACAAACGATAAGATTCCCATGAAGTTTCTGAATAACATGATTCGTTTTGCTAACACAGTACCTTCTTCAAGTAAAATAATCTTACAATGACGGATTGAGCCTTAATTTTCGGAAAGTAGGTACGCTTATCAATTGTATATGTATGTATTTGTATAAAATGTTATATTGAAGAAAGATGTAATGCAATAACTGGAATGAATGAATACATGAATAGCAAAAAAACATGGGCTATTTTTATAGCATTGGTTACGAGTTTCGCACCTCCCTGTATATTAATTCATGTTTTCCATTTTTTTTCATGTTCTGGTTCCCACGAAAAGGGATATCCTGTAATGTTCAGGGAACATAGTGAGAAAAATAAGGGAACAGAGGTAGAAATTGGTGTTCTTCTTAAATTTCTGAAGGTTATATGCCTCGGGAAACACCTCCCTTGTGTTCCAGAGCTTCACTGTTCGTTGGATGAAAGAGTCTTTGGAAAGAGATGTTCTGCAGGTCTCCAAAGTGACCACGAAGGGGTGCGAAGCCTCAACTCGACGGGTTAATCTCACGATGACTGCCAAGGGAGGAACAATTATTGTTGATATTTCATTTCCATGGAAATATCTATCCAACAGTTTCAGGGTATGTTTGGGTGCTGCACTCCAAATATGGAAACAGTATTCCAGGACAGGTCGGATCTGTGCCTTATAGATCATAAGCAGCTGACTGGAAGTGAAATAGCTCCTGGCCCGAAACAGAAAACCAAGTTTTTGGGATGCACTTTTAGCAATTGATCTCACGTGATTTTCCCAAGAAAGGTTATTGCTGATAGTAATGCCAAGCATCGAAATGGATGTCTTCGAAGGTATGGTTAATCCTGACAGGCTTATATTGGCACATACCACCATGCACATACCACGAAACGTAAGATTGAATCACCTTCAGGTACCGAATTTCGTGATTCTAGGATCGATGATAACAAATATAATTGAAGAAATCTGCATTCACGAACCTACCTTCAAGGGGGTTTAGCGCCCTGCAGAATTACTGTATACTCACCTCCAAAAATAACATTTCGTTTTGCAGTTGCCGCAAAATATTGTCATTAGCTTGACCTCCTCTTATCGTGATAGTATTTTTTTGCTCCAATATTTTTTTGCTGATGGAATCAACGGTAACTGAATATTGTATGTTGGATATCCGGTGAGTACCGAAAATGCTGAGCATGCGGACGAAATCTTCGTCTTCTACTTCTTCTTCATCTTCCGAAAAGTCGGTGAGTTCATCATCTTCGTCGGAACTGAGATAGTTGAGGTCTTTTCGTGGTTGGGCAGGCTAGAAAAAAATATAGTGATAGAGAACATCTTCAGACAGCACCGATTTCTAGACAGCACTGGATATTCCCAAAATATTCTTCAAATATGCGAGAAGAAAAGAATATATTCCGAATATCCACCGAATATTCCTAAAATAGATACAGAGTGGAGACTTTAACTGGAATAAATTCCCTACTGAGGGAGTGAATGATTTTTCTGGAAATTCGCAAGACACATCAACGTTTAAATGTATTTACCTGCATTTGGCGAGCAATATGGAGAATCAACCCAAATTGTTTTTTCAAATGCAATCCGATTGCAATGCGAACCGATTCCACTTAAAAAATCATTCAAATATTTAGGGGTCACATTCGACAGCAATATGAAATTCACAGATCACATAAATAATATATGCTCCAAAGCGCAAAAACGTATAGATGTAATGAAATCACTTACGAGAGTATGGTGGGGCTCTGACCCAAAGATACTGAGCATGATATACAAGAGCCTAGTCAGGTCACACTTAGATTCCGGAATGATGCTGGTATTCAATTCATCAAAGCAAATGCTACATAAACTGGATAAAGTACAATACCAAGGTCTCAGCCTGATATTGGGTTCTATGAAAAGCACCCCAATAACTTCTCTTTTGGCTGAGAACGCCGAGTGGCCATTTCGGCATCGGCGATCTTGGCTAGCTTTCAAATTCATACTAAAAAACCTTTCCCTGACAGACAATCCAATAGTCTCCTCCCTCATTAACCTATACTCACAACTTTGTACCAACTATCCAAATGGACTTGAAGATATCCCAATCATCGAAAGATGGACAGAGCACTAGCTTATATTGAAGAAATTCAAAAACACGAAAATCTACCTTGCGTTACCTATGATTATGACACTCAAATGATGAAAATCCATTTCCAGGACTTAGAGCTAAAAAAATATGACAAGGATAACAACATGGATTTTAGAAGAATAATAAAAGAAAAATGGCCACATCAAACACTCATATTTACGGATGGATCGTCAATGAACTCCAGAGTGGGACTTGGAGACCACATACCCTCTCTCAACTACAATATAAATGTCAGAATTGAGGATGACTCACCTTTTTGCACAGCCGAAATGCTGGGACTGGCGACAGCGGTAAAAAAAGCAATTGACTTTAAAATTGAAAAACCCTTTATTCTAACAGACTCGCTAAGCTCACTTCAAAAACTAGCTAGGACTGGTATTAACCCCAACTCAGACAACTCCACTCTCATTACAAGAAGCTTGATAAAAAAGGAAGCCCAAAACAGAATTAAAATCAATCTGGGATGGATACCTAGCCACACAAATATACCAGGAAACGACAAGGCAGATCAAGTAGCCAAGCTAAGCACAAGTAAAATAAGGGTGGACTACAGGAAGCTAGACTATAGATACCTTCTTCCTAGAGTCAAGAAAAGAATACAAGAGGCCTGGACCGAGGAATGGACTGAACTATGCGAAATTAAAGGGAAACCCCTATTCAACCTTCTAGAAACATTTCCGAAAAAGCCCTGGTTCCACACGATAGAAGTCAATAGAGAAATATCCTCCACAATGTGCAGAATGAGATCCGGACACTGTCTCACACCGGAACACCTTCACTAGATTAAAATAAAAGACTCACCAAGATGCGAATGTGGTATGACTGGAAGTCTACAACACATTTTATTAGAATGCCCCAACCACATATACAACTCAAATATACTGTACAAAAAAATGATATCCCGTCACAGTACCCCAATCCTTTCCGCTTTATCAGTAGAAGACCTGCTTAGAAACCCCTCGGCTTACTCAGCTCTAATCGTTTCCATGTACCTTAAATTATAAAAAAATAATAATTATGGCCCTATTATGTTGCATGTTACCACAGGGAGAAAGTGATGATCACAGGATCAGATGCATTCACGTGCAGCTTCACCCTCATATGGGGTTCAGCACCAAAACATACGCTGATGCTCTTAGATTCCATCCAGAGAAGAGCCATTCGCCTGGTGGGTGACGCCACACTCACTCACTCTTTGACATCATTGGAACACCGTAGAAAGGTCGGCGACCTTTCACTTTTCTATCGATACTTCCACGGGAAATGTTCTTCGGAAATCTCTGCAATCATCCCTTCACTAGCAATACCAATCAGACGAACTAGACAAGCCCAGTCAGCACATCCTTTCGTTGTCAACCTCGAAAGATGTCGAACAGCACTTTATCAAGACTCCTTCATCCATAGAACGGCTAGGCTCTGGAATTCATTGCCTGTGGAAGTATTCCCAACAACATATAATCTCCAAAATTAAAAAAAAATTCCAATACCTACCTCCTGTCCCTATCCTCCCTAGGAACGCACGATGTTCTTTGAACATTATAGGGATTCCCTTTCGTGCGCTTCAATCGATAAAAAAAAAAAAAAAAAACAAACCGTAAAGGTTGAGCCCACACTGAAGAAGGAAGGAAGGCAATCCTATGGCTTGCAACCCCGTATTGGAAATCTCGTTGAAAGATGGAATCCCGAGCGTAATGATCATATTTCAGTTTGCAGTACGTCTGGGGGACGCATAAAATCAAAATATACTTAAATTCGAAGTTTGATATATTTTCAAAGTATTTCCATCAATTTCGACTTTTAGTGATAGTGATATAGGGCATTTCCTCCAGTTTGAAATCATACTTCGTTTCAAACTGTGAATAAGGCAGAAAAACTATTTTTTTGTGACTCTATATATACAGACACTGTAATACAATAGCAAATAGCAGTTGTGTCAAAAAATTGTCATCAATTTTTCAACACACATTTTGAGCGATTGATACTTTGAAAAAATGTTTGATCTAGAAATAACATTCCAATTTTATGCAACTTTTAAACGTATGAAAAACACTAGTATGCTGAATTCCTCTTTCCACCAGATTTCCAATAAGGGGTAACAAGCCATAGGATTACATTTGCAAAAATCATGTTGATAGTGATTTCAGCTACCCCTGGAGGGATATATTCTCGATATTGTTCGCCAAAGGTAGGTAAATAAATTGAATCGTTAACGTATGTCGGGAACTTTCAGAACAAAATATTCACTTCTCTGCTAACGAATTTATTCCAGTTTGAAGTCTCCACACGACTGTATATGCCTCTGGAACATCCAAGGAATATTCCAATGATATTCGAAAATGATATATAAAGATGGATTTTTCAGGGAATATTCCCAACTGAATATCCTGCTCTGTATATTCATTTCGCCCTGTATCTCAAGAACATAGAGAGCTGTGACAATTCTGTTTGCGGCATTGTCCGTTTCACAAATAGTTAGACAGTAATGTGAAAACCGCAACTCTCTAACTCCAAAGACAACTGGGATATCGCACGAAAGCATCGAAAACTGGACACTCTGTACATTGAAAGCTGTTTGGACAGATTGTTATCTAGTTTTTTTATTTCGGTAAAAAACGGTCAGGAGTAAAAACGTAAATTTCCGTCTCAATCATAAAAATCCATTTCTTTATTATTCATATGGAAGGAGTGACGATGATTATTAATATTGTGATTCGCTTTTTCTCTTCTGGAAATTGATAAATTAATAAATTCGATACAATTTATTTATCCAAGTAAAACAATTTTATTCTGACGATTTGGGTTTGTCCATGAGTTTTCTGTCGTCCCATAAAAGGTACGGCCACTATCAGTAAATCTGTTTGCTGGAAATTGGTTTCTCGGGATCTCTGATTAAACGAGGTATGTGCATTATTTAGTAGACCTATTGAATAGATACGACGTATACGTTACATTATTAATTTTGTTCGATTTGACAAAGATCTTAAATTGCTCATCAATAAAAAATTATCTCTCTAGATATCTTTATTGCACATTAATTTCTCTATTTTTTTCAACTCATTTTGAATTTGTGCAAGAAAAACACTATTTTGAAAAAACCCTTAGGAGGTGCAGTCAAAAGTTACAGTTCCTTTCGAAATTTGAATTGGAAGTTTATTAATCCTCACATAGATCACTTATCCATAATGGCGAATAAAATCAAGCAACATAAAGATTTATGTGCTATTGCTAATTCAGCAAGAACTTCAGTGATATTCATTCACATTTCAAAGCCAGATATACTTAGAGTCCATTTATGAAGATTTTGAAAGTCATAATGCTGCTCTGATTCCGCTAATGATCACTGCTGAAACCGATAATGACGATGAACATGAAGCCTTACTGCAGGTGTTTTATCAAGATTATTATGATTCAAAATCGATATATGACGAACTATTTGATTTTAAAGATACTGCTCATAATGTATTAACTAATGCAAGTCATGTTAAGCTACCGAAAATCGAATTAGTTAAATTTGATGGAAACCTCAAACAGTGGAAAACCTTTATTGGCATGTTCAATAGTTTAGTACATGAAAATAACTCTCTGAAAAATATTGAAAAGTTTAATTATCTTGTAACATCGTTATCTGGTCCACCACTTAGTGATCCGAATTTCGTGGTTGCATATAACTCTTTACTCAAACGATATGAAAATAAAAGACTTTTGGCTACAGCTCACTATCATGAGTTGGAAAATGCTCATAAGATTCCTGAGAATAATGTAACTTCCTCTAACTTCCGAAAATTGTTGGACACATATACGGAAAACATCGCTGCTCTTAGAAATTTGAATTTTCCTACTGAGCAATGGAGTTTTCTCCATTTCAATATGCAACTTCGCAGATTGGATTCGGATACAGTCTCGAGGTTTGAAATTGATTATGGATCAAATGATTTTCCTACTTTTGATACTCTCAGAGATTTTGAATTGAATCATTGTTGCTCTCTTGACCGGGCATCTGATTGCTTTCAAAAAAGACCTCAGAAAAATGAAACTAAAGCTCGTAGTTACATGCAATCATTTCCTGTGTCAAGCTTTGCTGAAAAACGATCTTCTTTCCATGTCCAGACCAAAATATCTTGCCCTTTATGTGACGCCGACCATCCCATCTACAAATGTCC